GGGGGTGCCGTCGCGGCCGCCGGGGAGACGGAGACGGCCTGGAGGGAGGGACTCGCGTTTCCCGGTGAAACGGGGAGGGGGGGGGGTGCCTCGGAGGTGGACAGGAATAGACCGGCCTCGTTCTGAAGAAGGTCCTTAAGATCGCGCTTACGGGTGGGGGCACTGGGGCTCAAACTGGACCGCCTTGTCCATGTCCGAGGGGCGGGACAAGGGCCGGCCCGGCCGGGGGGGGGGGGGATCATGACGTGTGGGTCATACCGCCTATTTCGAGCGGCACAGGCGCGTTACTGAGGGAGGAATCACTCAGCGTTTTGATTACACGAGTGCACACGTGCAGCTGAATACACCCGCGACAAGCACTCTTCAATTCTATCGTAAACGTTCTAACGCCTTTTAACGACGGAGATATTCTGAATCCCGCCAAAATTGGTTAAGGTTAGGTTAGGTCGGGTTAGGTTATAAAACCTCTTTTAAAACTCGTGACTGCACTGCACACAGGTCAACGGCCGGGCCAGTGCGTGCACTCGAGTACAATGATAGCGACTCGTGGGCGGTACGCTTCCTCCAGAAAGGCTCGCTATTTCTGCCCTTTGGCCGTTTATTTCGGCGCGAGGAGCTGTCCCCTAGCGGGCTCGCAACGCAGGTGTGAGTAGTGTAGGAGCCAAGGACCCGGGGTGAGGCGAGGCCGGGGCGAGGCCGGGGCTATATCAGGCCCGCGACAGGGGGCAGGGATCTTTTAACGTTAGGTAATGGATAGGGCTTGGGCAGCTTGCGTTACGTGGTTACGTGAGGGCTGCAGGACGATGAGCAGTAAAGCCCAGCCTCCTCGTCTAGCGACGGGCGGACGGGCGGTCCTCAAGGACTCGCGTTAACGATTTATCAGGATTACGACACGACATGGAGCCGCCCTTAGCAGAGGGCACGTTCCGGAGGAACAACAACAACAAGAAACAAAAACGGGCCAAAAGACCTCGTTATTTCTCCCCCCGGAATGGCCTACACGACGCCGCTTGAAAATAGCATCACGCTGCCGGCCGACATTGGTACGGATACTCTTGTTTGGCACCGGCCAACGCAACGGTAGGGAAAGAGGGGGGGGGGGTGCCACGCTGGGGGTTGTATAACGGCAACGTGCCCCGCGCAACCCCAGTCCCGCTGCAGACCGTTGCCCGAAGCCCCGAAGGCCGCGGCCCGAAGCGGCCCGAAGCGGCCCGAACACCGAAGGCGGCCCCCCGAAAGCCCCGAAAGCCCAGGAAGCTTTCCCCGGAGGTGCCGCGCGGCAAGCCCGGCCCGGGCAAGCCGGACAAATGCGTGGCGGCTATGTTTAGCCCGGAACGGGCGAGCAGGGCGAAGAGCGGGCCGAGAGACGCGCAACCCTTTTATCCAGTGGCGTGCCTGGCGTCCCCGATGCGACGCATCCCGTTGGGTAACGGCCGAGATGGAGAGAGGCACGGCCTGCGGCCATTGAGGCCATCCGGGCCATTCAGGGGGTTGTCGGAATAGGCTCAGCCCTTCGGGACAAAGGGACCGCATTTAACGCGCCCGGGACGCATCCGGCTTCAAGGACAAGCTGCACCTCCTCGTATAGAAGCACCGGGAATACGGTGTGGCGCAACACACAGGGCCTTTCATCAAGCGTACACTGGCCTCTGCTCTTTCTCGGAGAGTGACTCGAGCATCGACACACAATCCATGCTTTTAAAGGAAGGCATTGCGGAATTTCCCTTTTGCTCGCTGCTAACGGACAGGTGCGGTTGCATGGGGTGGAGGTAGGCAAAAGCCATTCTTTGCCTCTGTCCCTCTGTCAGGCAAAAAGTGATACTTTGAGCCCCCCCCCCCAACCTCCCCGCCTAGCACAGTGGAAAGTCTTCAAGCGGAAGGTTCCGCGAGCCACGTGACGCTACAGTTTTAATACACTAGTGAATACACCGGTTTTCCCGCTTTTCTTCCGAAATCCAGCCAAAGTTCTATGCGACGACGAGTCGGCGCCATAGAACAACAGCAACAACATAACGCCACAAACGGGAGCCGCACGTCGGCAGCACTGTTTGATACCATTCGGCGCGTAGCCTTCGACACCGGCACGACAACGGGCAACGACGGCGTACGCTCCGAACTAACGCCAGGTTCAATGGCGGATCCAGAAACGGGTTCAGAAGGCGTGAGGGCGTCGCAAAAGTTGCCTACACTGAAAAACCGAACGTGGTCTAGACCACACCACTGGTATGGTCAAATGGGTGCCATTTTGACCGCATCAGTTGGTGTGGTCTAGACCACGTTTGGGCACGTTTGGTGTGGTCTAGACCACGTTTGGGCACGTTGGTGTGGTCTAGACCACGTTTGGCCACGTTTGGTGTGGTCTAGACCACGTTTGGGCACGTTTGGTGTGGTCTAGACCACGTTGGCACGTTTGGTGTAGTCTAGACACGTTGCACGTTTGGTGTGGTCTAGACCACGTTTGGGCACGTTTGGTGTGGTCTAGACCACGTTTGGGCACGTTTGTGTGGTCTAGACCACGTTTGGGCACGTTGGTGTGGTCTAGACCACGTTTGGGCACGTTTGGTGTGGTCTAGACCACGTTTGGGCACGTTTGGTGTGGTCTAGACCACGTTTGGGCACGTTTGGTGTGGTCTAGACCATTGGGGGCAGCCTTTGGGCACGTTTGGTGTGGTCTAGACCACGTTTGGGCACGTTTGGTGTGGTCTAGACCACGTTTGGCCACGTTTGGTGTGGTCTAGACCACGTTTGGGCACGTTTGGTGTGGTCTAGACCACGTTTGGCCACGTTTGGTGTGGTCTAGACCACGTTTGGCCACGTTTGGTGTGGTCTAGACCACGTTTGGGCACGTTTGGTGTGGTCTAGACCACGTTTGGCCACGTTTGGTTTTTCAGTGTACCTTCGGGCGCGAAGTGCGACTTGTTGCCTGCAGGGGGCGGGGCACACCCCCATCGCTGTCGCTTTGTGCTTCGCTTGCTTCGCCAGGCTTCGCTCTTGCCGTTTCGCGGTGCCTCGGAAGGCTTTTCCCGATCGATATACATGCGCACGTGTTTCCGCGCGTGCATCTCCGCGTTCCGCGACGACGCAGTAGGACGCAGCGGCGCCGGCGGCCCGCGCCTCGTAACTCTCAGTACCGCCACACTGGGAAAGCGAAAGCTGAAACCCAGTGCATGCCTCTACCCTTTGCAATGACCCAACCCGAATGCACTTGCCCGTTGTGCGAGTCGATTGCGGTCAAAGCCCGCTGTCGCACAAGTTTGATAATTTAATTTTCTTTCCTTTCCGGCTGTGGATATGCATGCAGCTCTGGCGCATTTTCCCGCCTTTTCCTCCGGGGACTGCCTCGGACCCATTACTTCCTGCTCCCCAGCACGCGTTCCACAGGTCGGGTAGCTGCTAGAAATCCGCGCCGGGTCATCGAAGCTGGGACAGTTGGTATCAATGCGAAGTTCGATTTGGAGTCTCGTGAGACTGCATAGAATACGACACGCCGCGATGATAAATAACAGCAATTCCACGATGATGCTGCTGCCAGACACTCTGACTCCACATACACTCAAGTAAAACGTCGGCGACGGTTCGAAACGTCCGCCACAACGCGCTCTCGCCCAATAGGTCAAATCTTGCACAGCGCGCTCTCATGTACCCACTGCGAGTTGATTTGGTGCGGTGGCTGCCGCGGCTGCCGCTTGCTGTGGAGAAGGCAGTGGGCATCCACATCCAGGGCGCCTGCAGGATTTGACAGGCTGCAAACAAGCCCTTGGCAGCGTGTGCGGCCGTACTGTTAGCGTGCGGCGATTTGGGGACACGACTCGAGTTGAAATGCGAAGCTAAACGCGCTCCATTCCCTCGTCCGCACCATGCCGTCCCCCCCCCCTTTCCCCACGGCCCCGTTTCCCCTCCAGTTTCCGCCATCCGCCGCGCAACCGGCAGAGCGCGCTGCTCGCGCGTGCGCAGCGCGCAGCGGACTCGTAGCGACCCTCCTGTAAGAGATGCGCAAGCCGAGCCCGAATCCGGCCTCCTGGTTCGTTTGGTGGTCCCTGGGCCTCGGGGAACCGAAAAACGACCTGTGTGAGGCTAGGGTATGAAAACAGTAGTCGCCCGAATGCAGACGCCCGCGTTGCCGACACGCGTTTTCACAAAGACGCCAAACAAAGTTTAATTTGCTGGTGAAGACGTGCAACTAACGTCAAAATGTTAAAATCAAAATTGTATTTACTCCGAGAGGAACCGTGCCGCGGTAAACAACAATAACTGCAGCTCAGAACTGGCGGAAACTTTGTGGAGTTGAGGTTATTGGTGCACACTGTTTGTACTTTGGCGAAGGTTTCCTTGGCCTTGATTTTCAGATCCAAGCAGTGCACTGAATCGGAAATAAATTACTTTAGCTCCTGACTGGCCGGCGTCGTCCACCCGCATTCTTCCTCCTGACAAGTTTTAATTGGCCCGAGCACGCGCGACAATAAACCGACCGACTATCTTTTCATACCGTAGCCTCGCGCAGGTGCCCAACTCCCCAGCGACCACCAAAGCTCGAGCTTGCGCATCTCTTACAGGAGGGTCGCTACGGACTCGTTCCCAGATCCGTTTCGTTTTCGTCGCGCTGTCTCTCTCGCACTCATGGGGCGTCCCGTGCAGGCGCGAGAGGGACAGCGCGCGCCAAAACGACTCTCTCACGACTCGCCGGGCCGAGTTTCTCTACGCGCGCCCTCCTCGTTGGCACTCGTCGAACCGTCCGCAGTGAAATTTCGAAAATTCCGCAACGCTGCCCGCGACAGTGGTGTTTGTCTTTGTCGGACGCGTGCGGAGGAAGTACCGGCGGAGGCGAGCGTCGGCCCGTGCAGTGTCGCGGTCGCGCAGGGCTTCAAAGGGCGGGCTGTTGCCGCGCGAGCCGTCTCGGATCCGACAGCCGCGCGCGCATGCGCACCGGCCGGCGTCCTCTTAGCAGTGCGCCGATCGGTCAACTCGCGAGCGGCTTTTTCTCGCTCGCGAAATCGTCAGTGTCCCGGTGGGGCGTTACAGACAGTCACTCGCGCGTCCCTTCCACTCGGAAAAACACGATTGATTCCATTATCGGGAAGTTCAAGGTCGGCGTCACTTTTCGCACCTCACCCCCCACCCCCTGGCCTGGACCAATCGGAGGCCGCGTTCCATGCCGTTCCATGCGGCCGCACCGTGGCGCCATCTGTATCCCCGTTGCTTCCAACACCCAACCCAACAATCGCATCAGCCGGACGGTTACTTAATTTCTAGAAAGGGTTTCTGCGCGTGCTTGTTGATCATATTTTTGTGAAAGTCGCTACGGTCTGTTTACTATTTTCATTCGTTGTCGTGACAAATATTGCTACCATTGACGCTCTCTTTTGGCGAAGGGCTAAAAAGATTGACATTTTAAACGTCCGTGCAAGTTTTTTTAGCAAGTGGATTTTCAATGCAGTCCTCCCAAGTGCAGCAGATTCAGCACCAGTTATCATCTGGGGCCAGTGTCATTTTAAAAATGAGCGAAATATCTAGCATAGGTGAGTCAGACGTGCAGGCTGCGTTGTTGTTTACTCGTTGAACGGTCCTATTCGTTATTGTGGCGTGGCTTTGCTTTTATCGACCTTGTGCTGTATAACCTACCATCTGCCTATGATTGATCATCCTCATGAACAACTTGTTCGATCTCTAGCGATAACCTCACTCCTCTATTTGCAATCTTTGTAATTTATGGCTGGTGCAGAGTTTCCATCTCTCTTTCTCCTTTTTTGTTTACAAGTAAATATCGACCCTTGGCTTAGCTTTGATGATGTTATTATTGTGCTAGTGGTTAAAACAAAGGACTCTGTGTCTTGCATCTATGCCGCGATGGTAGGTCTGGGCGCATCTGTCGTGGGGGACCAACCCTGTTTTGAGCCAAGTTCTCCTTCCTGTCACTTTAACGACACATGACAATTAATTTATTGAAGCTTGTGACTATTTTCCTTTCACATTGAGGTTAGGATATTTGTTGGCTTTGCTTCACCCTTGACTCATTTGTCGTTCTCATTTTCAGCGGGGCTGTTGGAGCTGGCCCACCGTGAGTATCAAGCTGGTGACTATGAGAATGCAGAGAGGCACTGCATGCAACTATGGCACCAGGAGAGCAACAACACTGGAGTCCTTCTGCTGCTGTCGTCCATTCACTTTCAGTGCCGCCGGTTGGATAAGTGAGCATCCCACTTCGTTATTCATCTACCTGATTACGTAAAGTTTTGTCTGTGCAAACTATAGTATTTTTCTGTTCCCTTTAGATCTGCTAACTTCAGTGCCTTGGCAATTAAGCAGAATCCATTGCTGGCAGAGGCATACTCCAATCTGGGAAATGTCTACAAAGAACGCGGACAACTTCAAGAAGCTTTGGAAAACTACAGACATGCTGTTCGACTGAAGCCAGATTTCATTGATGGTTACATCAACTTGGCTGCTGCTTTGGTTGCTGCTGGGGACATGGAGCAGGCTGTCCAGGCATATGTAACTGCACTCCAGTACAACCCTGTAAGTTGAATAATATAATTGCAGTAAATTATCTTTTTGCCCACTTAGTTTTGGAACTTCTTTTTTATCCTTATTCTTTCTTTTACAGGACTTGTACTGTGTACGCAGTGACTTAGGCAACTTACTTAAAGCTCTTGGAAGACTTGATGAAGCTAAGGTAGGTGGAAGAGCTTAAATCCTAAATCATGATATCAAGTGTCCAAAAGCAAAGAGTATTAGGCCTTTTCTTGTCTTGAGTTTTATTCTGAGAGATTTACATATCCATTTACCTCCATTTTTTTATTTTTTTTTGTCAACTAGTAAATTTTATTTTGTTAATGAAACTAGCCACTTGTGAGCTGATAGTGATTTGCAAGGAAATACTAAATTTTTTGATGTATTGGAACACTCGGTATTAATATAAGGGGCTTTCTTCATTTTACATTAAGCAGATGCTCTTCAAACATTTGGTCATGTATTGTTGTCTGTTGCCATGCTAATTCAGAAGTTTTTCCACGACAGAATGGATCATGCTGCTGCTCGGTTGCTGCTGCATGCGAAAGTTTTGAGTTGTCAATTGAATTGGTCATCCAAAGCATTGACATGCCTTAAATCCCCTCTTCCCATTTTAGGTGTACCTGCCCAGTAATTGGCCTCATCGCTTTGAGCCAATTCAATATGTTGCTGATTTGTAAAAATGCGCAGCTGATACTTATTCTTGTTACTGTAAATCTGAGGTAGTTTTGGTCTTTTCAAATTTTTCTTTGACTGCACTGATTATTCAAAGTGCCTTTTTATTAGTTTAGAGCACTGTGCTTGTATTGTTATATTTTTAGTTTGTTTTGTGTTAAGTCTGCTCTTCAAAGTATTTTTTTGTTTTTTCAAATGTGGTCCAGCATATTTGCAGACTTATTGTCGGTTACTTTTGTAGCAAATTTCTTTTAACTAAATCATTTAATTCAAATTTGTTTTCTAGTGAAGAACTATTTGCATGTCTCATAATACCTATGAAAGACAAAGACTCTTCAGATAACAGTTCCATCGATAAAAATTGTTTTTCAGTCCCTAGGGAATGGGCTTAGGCCATGTAATAATATAATAATAAACTTCAGGCAAGGTACTTGACGTTGCTTAGTCATGTAATATTGTTCATCTTTTGCCTGATGTGGCACTTATGTGGGTTGGAAGCTACATTCCAGTTTGGACTGAAAAATAAATGTGTCTTTGGGACAAGATCACAAAAACACTAAGTGAGCTATGGTTTAGGAAATGTTATACTTTCTTGTGGAGTTTTTCTCAGGTCGCTTGCACAAACCTGTGCAAATAGATTTTCATTATCGTGGAACTTGAATTTTACAAGTGTTCCCCGTACCTTCTTTGTTTTGAATTCTGTCTAACTTAGCTAATGTGTCTGGTAATTCAAATTTGGCTCAGCCAACATACTCTATACATATATGAAAGTAAGTAACATTTTCTAACTGATCTGCAATCCAAACCTCTGCACTCAATTCTTGTCAAATGAGATCTAATTATTATTAGAATATTCTAAGCCCCTTTTAACTTTGCTGATTTTTTTCTTCATACCAATTTTAACTTTTTATCAGGGTTGGGTGGAGAGCTTTGGATTTATGACACCCAGCAGCGCTTTGCTGGTTGTGCGCTTGCGTCTTGAGTCAGAAAATATGTTTTTGGTTACAAACACCTTAAATAGAACTGAAATCAGAAAAAAATAATGGTCATGATACATTTACTTTCCTTTTTTTTTTCATTTTGGAACCTGTAATGGGACCTTTCTTTATTATTGACTTTGTTGAAAGATCTTGTTTATTGATTTCATTGATTTTGCCGGGACTTATTTGTTTGCATTATCGTATTTTCTGTGGTATAAACTGTGGTATGAAAAAAAACAAAGGATAAAAGTAACTTCTAATCTAGCTTAGTTTATTCAGTATGATATCTCCGGAATCGGGCAATCGGTTCTGTAATGAGTTAGTCGTATTCTGATCAATCGTTGCACTTTTCGCATGGGCAATGCATCATAACTTGTGTGTCTTAAATATTTGTCAGTCAAACTAACGCTTTGTGGAATGTGTGCATATGAACTTCATTCCTTCATACCTAGCCCTGTAATGCGCGCCTTGCACAAGTTTGCTGAAAGATAAGTCAGTCCTTTTATGGTTGGCTTTCCTTTTAGCAAGTCTCATATGTTAAAGATTATTGCCATTCATGTCTTATTTTTCAGCAGATTTTGTTCTGATTGGGACCTGCCACTGTGTATTCTGCTAATTTACTTGTTATAATATTTCAGACGTTTCTTCATTTGAGAGAAAAATTGTATCCTGCAAGGGCAATGCTTCTGAGGAACTGAAATATTCCCCTTATTTGGAATTTTAAAAATTCTGGCAGTGTTTTCCTTTATACTACTAGCAAAGCAACAATGTGTTACCTCTTAGTTTGAAGAGCATTTATATTATGAGCAAAGAATTTTAAGCATCTAAGCTAACAATAGCATAAACAATTATGTCTGTTTTTGATTGGGTGGTTGGTAAGTAATTGTTGTCAGGTATTGCCGTAACTATCCTCAGCCATTTTGCATGTAAGAGCTGCTTTCTTTGGTTCCCTTGCTTACATTTAACCCTAGTGTCCTGCCTGATATTCAAATCAATATATTTCTCTGTCTCAGCCTTATTGGCTCTTAAAAAAAAGAGTCTGTCGAAATTAATAGCACCCTCATTGTTTCTCTAAAACCCTGACTTATGGCTAGAATCACTTTGATGGGCTGATCAGGGCTGATAAATCTGAGGAACTGTGGTTTGCTTGTCCCATTAATTTCGTTCTTACACATACTGCATTTTAGGAATGTCAATCATTGCATGCCTGGAACAGTAGTTCTTTTGCTCATGATGTAAACCAAGCTATTATTTTTCACCTTTTTTTTGTTGTTGTTGTTGAGGAGGAGCTTGTATTATGCTAACAAGGGAACGTTTTCAGGTGTCAGGAGCCGATTGCTCCTATACTTTGGGATCTTAAAGACCATTTCAAGAAAGAATTTTCGGCACCCACAGTTCGTGCTAAAAGTCACTACAACGCCCTAAAATGAAAGTGTAAGGTCAGGGCCGGCCCGTTTTGGCCAAGCCGTCGGACGGCGGCCAGTGGCCAGTCAGTCGGGTCACGCGACGAAAGTGCGTGTGTCACTTCGAGTTGTCCTTCCTAGTGTTGCTAGGCCACTAGGCCGTTGGCATTGCCACCGCGGGTTATACCGAAATCCACCCCACCACTGTTTGGTCAAACCTGAACAGAAAGGAAATCAACTTCGCAAACTGCACGATCTTGCGGAATCCCTGTTTTCCTACCCTCTTCTCGTTCCTTCGTTTCTGTTTCTGAGGGTGGCTCACTCATCCCTGGTGCACCTTGCCTGGGTCGGCGCTTGCTCTGGCAAGCCTTTGGGGACTGTGGCGACTCCTCGGGTGTAAAGGTCAGGCGTGCCTGGCTCCAGTTGAGCCTCCAAACTTCCAGTGGGCCTCTAGCCAGCTTCTTGTTCGACTTGTCGTACTTGCTCGTCTGCGCCTAGCGAGTTCCCCAATGAGGTTAAGTCTAGCGAGGGCAAGCGAGCGAGTTGCCTCTTCAGAGTCTCTCGCAATGCCAGAAGGCCGCTTCCGAGCACCGTCTCCAATGACCCTCCTAGCCAGCCCCACTGAGCTTGTACGCGGGCGCGGGCACTTGCGAGATGTCCTGGGGTATTTGTGCTCCACCCCCAAAAACAAAAACAACGAAACGAGGAAAGGATAGGCTCGGATGGTCAGAGGTCCTGCGGTGTGGCAGGGGTAATGGTGTCCCGCACGGTGCTGTGGGTCCTTGGAAAGCCTCTTCTGATCCAATTTATTTCATTTTCAATTTTTAATAGGCTGGGAAAATTCATAAGACCTTTTCAAACTAAAACAATTACCATGGCAAATTGTAATTTCTGCTCTTAAATTTTTTCGTCGGGAACTAAGAATCATCTGCTTTCATGGACGTTCTTTAAAGATAAATTTTTTGGTCAAGTTTATGAAAATTGGTCAATTTTCAACTTTCATTTTATGGCGTTGTAGTGACTTTTAGCACGAACTGTGGGTGCCGAAAATTCTTTCTTGAAATGGTCTTTAAGATCCCAAAGTATAGGAGCAATCGGGTCCTGACACCTGAAAACGTTCCCTTGTAAGTGCATGGTGCCACTCAGTTTCATCTTCTCACTTCCTTTTCATCATCTTGTCTGAACGCTCATTGATTTACCCATAGAATTAATTTTTTATTTGAAAACAAAAGCTCATATGTTGTGTAGAATGAAGAAAACTGCCCTTTGTTGTAGTCTTAAAGTAATAATTTACAATTATTGATAAATTTCCTTTGTCTGTGTTCAAGACTATCTCTTTTCTGGTGAAATTTCTGTTTCATGTAAAAATCACATTCAAACTGCCTTACTGAAACCTCTACTGTTCTCTTGTTCATTTGGCCTTTTCTTTCCTTTCCTTTTCTCCTCATCTAGAGGTTTAATTGAAAGAATGCATGTTAGGCATAATAATGGAAGGAAGCACGTAGCTCTGTGTATTGGGTTTGCTCCTTTTTCCTTTATATTTCATCAATGCCTTTTTGGTGTTCTGAAATACAAAGGTTGTGGACTATGCCCGTTTCTGACCCATGTCCATTGGGCATGGAGTTGAAATTGCTATGGTACATTGTATTGGTCTCAACAAGTTTCTAATCAGTGTGGTTTTTACTGTTCTATGTAATGTATAACTAGGCTAGGTCTGGGGCCTCTTGGGTCTGCAGCGTTGGGACCGGTTGCTGATCTACTTTGGCGTTCCCGAAATAGCCACGAGGCAGGGCTCCAGTGTATCTATGTAGTGGCTTGGTAATCGATTCAATCACTGCAGCAGGTAAAGTAGACATGGTAGCCAGTCTCCTTATGTTCGAATTTTCTGATTTCCCTGCTTTAATACATGACATTGATCTGGCTTTAATGAATCCAATGAGATATAGGGGGTATTTGAGAATTATGTGAAGTCCATTCAAGAAATTTGCGTTTCCTGATTTGCCTTTTTTTTTGGTCTATTTTTTTCCTGTTTTGATTTTCTTTCTTACTAGTTGTAGTTGAAGGAGGCTGGCTGACGTAATAGTAAAATTTCCAATAATACAACATGTTGGTCTTTTAGGTTATGCTGAAGTTGTTTTCCTCCGCCTCCCACGCGCCTAGCGTAGCTGCGCACACACTGCCGCGTGCCGTGAGCCGCGTGCCGCGCCTGCGACACCTACCCCTTTTCGATTGCGCATTACAACACGACTCATCACGAACAAGTCATTGAGACACGCACGCCTCGTCGACCTGTGGGATTGTGGGACTGGGCGCCCTTACCTGGCTTCTGTCTCGGCAGAGCTCTCTCTCTCTCTCTCCTTTTTGCCCGACTTGCCCGGTCGACTGGCTGCCGCGCTGCGCGTCACTACACATCCTTGAGAGAATGCGACTGGAGGGGCGTAAAAGAAGCGAGTGACTGAGTGTGTGCGAGAGAGAGGGTAGTGTTGACGTGATTCAAGTCGACGTTTGGTTTGGTTTTGTGATGTCGATTGTGGCCATTGCGGCCACTCTGGCATGGATTAGCACTGGCGAGGCTCATGATGACACGTCAGCACTACCCTCGAGTAGGGTGTAGGGCCCTTTCTGGCAGGGGAGGTCGGATGCTATGTCTGTGCTAAGGTTTGCGCGCGCTGGCGACCTGTCTTTGCGAGTCTTGTTCTTGTCTACAACGCGGTTTCTGTTCTGCCCTCCCCTCCCCTCCCCTCTTCCCGCCCCTCCCCTCCATCCCTGCAGGCGTGCTATCTGAAAGCCATCGAGACGAGGCCCGACTTCGCCGTGGCCTGGAGCAACTTGGGGTGCGTGTTCAACGCGCAGGGCGAGATCTGGCTCGCCATCCACCACTTCGAGAAGGCCGTGGCGCTGGACCCCAACTTCCTGGACGCCTACATCAACCTCGGCAACGTCTTGAAGGAGGCCCGCATTTTCGACCGGTGAGTAACGGTCCCTTTCGTAGGGCAGCTCAGCTGCGGTGTTTGGGTGTGTGGGAGGGCGCGTTGAACTCCGCCACAGTGGAGGTGCCCGCTCACTCCATTTAGCGCGTCGCGTCGGGTTAATTCCTTCCAGCGACTTTGCTGTGTTTGGCACGCCCAAGTGCCGCCCTGGAATTTACTTGGCCGGCGGCGCAGCGGTGCGCAGCGCGGTGGAAGGCGTTCGCTCTGTCTCTCTCGCACTCACGGGGCATTGCGTACCACTCGGTGCGGGTGCGAGAGAGAGAGAGAGAGAGGCACTCTGCTGGCGCGCGGCCAGGCGCGGCGTGGGGCCTGCTGCGCCTGCCGTGCCTGCCCAACGCGGGGTGGTTTGAGGTAGGGGTGGCGCGAGGCTGGCTGCTCCAGGGGCGGGGGGTGCTGCTGACGCACCCCCTTGGCGGAATTCCCCCACACCGCGGTCACTGCAAAAACACAGTCTAGACCCGCCGTCTTTGAGATCTCTCTCTCCCTCCGCCGGGGTTGAGGCGGAGAGGCGGCAAAAAAGGGCCCAGCCTCGTTGAGGTATTGGTCGACCTCGCTCGCCTAATGGTTCTTGCGGGGTTAAGAAGGGGGCCACCGGGAACCGCTGCAGATGTGGCTCGGCTGGGTCCGGCTCGGCTCCGTCCGGTGGCCTTGGAGTGCGTCAGTGTGTCGCATTGAGGGGGCTGTACTGTGGCTTAGCTTGCCTGCCTGCCCGTCTGTCCGGCCGGGCCGGGCGCGGAGCCCAAGGCCTCGGCCGACCATCCCTCTGTGTGTCATTTATTTTTCCGCCCCTCCCTTGTTTGCTGGCCGGGCTTCCTTCCGTTTTCATATCGCGCTGTGTGTGTGTGCGTGTGTGTGTGTGTGTGTGGCCCCCGAGGGTGTCGTGCCCTACGTCCTGCTTAGCGCATGCGGGTTCCCCCACCACTTCGCATGAGCATTACCGCGACTCTGCGTGTAAATTGTGCGAGGATTTGGCGTCGCAGGGGTTGGGGGAGGGGGCTTCATTGTCTGTCTGTCTTCGGACCGTGGTGGAGCACGCGGTGGACAGTGACTGAGCACCTGTCTTCGAGGGACGACGCCACGACGACTTACGCTCATTTCTTTTCGCTCCGATGTCGTGGAGCCGCGTCGCCGCCGCCTTCGTCGTCCCCGGACAAATGAGAAACAATTAGTGCGCGGGGCGGGGCGTGGCGGGCTGAGCTTGGCACACTCGACACGCGCTGGGTCTTGCTGTTTGCGAGTTTCCACCCCGACCAGAGCAGTACGCAGTACGGGCTGCGGTGGCGGCGCCACGTTCTCCCAGTTTTGGAACTAAGTCGGCTCGGCTGGCATCGTCTTGCTCGCCGTCCGCGCCGTTTCATAACGCGCTTTCTCCCCCCCCCTCCCCCCTCGCCCGGAGACCGCACTGCGGTGGCCCGTCTGTGGGCGCGGCAGGGCAGGGCAGGGCGCGGCACGGCAGGGCGCGCGTCGAGTCGGGGCAAATGAGGTTACCTCCCCGTAAAGTGGAAAGCACCCGACTGGAAAGGGGCGGGGGAAGAAATACGCGTTGGCAGTAATAAAAGAGGACGCCGGTTTGGAGAGGGGAGGGGGGCGAGGGTCGGTGCCGAGGGCTTACAGGGCGTAGACCCGGCGCCAGTGTGGTACCCGCTGCCCGCCCCGCTGTCGCCGCGGTGGGCTCGGTGGGCTCCCAGAGGCGCAGTGATTTTGGCGGTTGGCGGGAGTGCCTCGCCCGGCCGGGCCACGTGGTGGGCACGTGGTGGGCGACGGCCTGCCCTTGGCTTACCTTGGCGCGGCGCTGCGGCGGCGCGGTGTGCCTTTGGCAGTCTTTGGCGGTCGGCCCGGTCCCTTTGAGTTCCGTTTGCTGCCATTCCGCCTCACCCTGACACTGTTCTATTCTCGTGTCGCACGCGCGCTGCCTGGCTTCGGGCCTCGGGCTCGGCCAAGGCTTGGCCAAGGCTTCGCGCCTCGTCGCGGACGCGGTGGTTTCGCTTCGCAGGGTCAGGGCGCGAGGCCTTGTCCGCGGCGGGGGCGAGGCCCTCGAGGGCGGGGCCGTCTAGAGCGCTCTCTGCAGCGCCGTGCCCCAAGGCCGTGCCCCAAGGCCGTGCTCCCTCGCCGTGCTGTTCGAGTGCGGCCACGGTGGACCCGACCCAAGTTGATTTATAGCTAGATTGGGGGTTGTCCCTACCCGGCCCGGCGCCCTCTCCTTGTAGTATCTCGTCGTCGTCGTCCTCGCCCTTTTTCGTGTCGCGTAAGACTATGTTTTTCGCCACTTTTTTCACCGCGACAGAGACGAAATGGAGTCGACGGAGACGCTGGATCGGCGTTGTTGTTTGTTCCGGCTGTGCGGTGCGGGGCTGGGAGGAGAGTGGACGGGGCGGCGGGGGCGTGTGATGAGTGCGTTGATGGCGCTCTGAGAATGGGGTCCTGACGACGTGGGCGCCTCGCTGTCCGTCCGTCCGTCCGTCTGTCTGTCTGTCTGTGCGTTCGTCTGTCTGTTTCTTTCCCCTGCCCTTCACCTTGGCGGGGAGGCCGCAGCGTCCGTGGCCGCCAGCCCTAGCGCGCTGGCGCCGTCGCCGTGTTTTGCTGTCGCTGCCTCGTGATGTCGACCGTGCTCGGTGTTTTCCGCTGTAAGGGCGTCGTCCGCTGCCCTGCCTCGCCCAGCTTGCCCCAGCTTGCCCCAGCTTGCCCCAGCTTGCCCCGTGGCGCGGCTTGTTTTTGCAGCCCCCTGGAGAATGTCCGTCCCCCCTCCAGAGCCCCGCGCCCCGCGACCTGGACGCTCCAGCATTCTTTCCCTGGCGGGCGTGTCGGCCCGCGGGGTGCCGACTCCGTCTCTCTCGCACCCCTACGGGACGCCCCACGAGTGCGAGAGAGACAGAAGAGCGTCTTTCGGAACGGGCCACGCGGAGGAGGACTTGTGAGGAGCGGGGTATCGATCGCATTCTACGAGTTGGAATATAATTTGGGAATGGCGCCGCTCCGCCACTCTCCTCTCGACGGGCGGGTGCAGCTGTTGCAAAGTATTTGCAGTGGCGGAGCACAGCGGCCACCGCCCGAGCCAAGTTGAACTCGGCCGGAACGGCACGAACTCGCCCTCGACCACTTTTTTTCTCTTCGTTTTCTGTTTCACCGCTCGGCTTTTCTCGTCTTTTTCTTCGCTTTTTAAAAAGAGCCTTGCCCGAGTTTTATACGAAAATAATTGCGGGCTGATGACTTGGGGGAGGCCGGAGGGGAATTTCGCGACTGTTGATTACCTCTCCACCTGGGAGGCGAACTCGGCAGCCCCGTTCCGGCGGGACTCTTCTTTGTCTTCTTGTTCTTCGCTTCCTCATCTCGCGGCGCTTCCTGGCCGCCGAGTTCTGCTTCGTTTGATGGGAAGTATTTCCAAAGTCGGCCGGGCCAGCTATCTAGTCAGAAGGGCGAGGTGGGGGTAGAAATGTATGAGGACGACGGTGGACTGAGTGATAATGAGGCTGGCGTCACGGCGAGGAGGGGCTCGAGCAGAATGCCGCCATTGAACGCGGTGCTGCGATGCCGCGATGCGCACTTGTCTGTTGAATGGGGGTTATGGATGGTGGCGGTACGGCGCGGTGCGGTCCGCCCCCTCCTGGTTCCGCCCCCCACTCGCACTGCGAACTGGTGGCGTGGGCGTCGGCTGAACACTTGACGTCAGCCTGTTGTTGCCTGCGCGGCGCGCGGCCAGACCCAGGCCGGTCCATTCTGAATGCCTTTGGTGCCCTCCGGTGTGTAATGGATTGGACGAGGCAGACCGACTTTTTTTTTGCGCGCGGGGGGATGTTGAAGTCCGTCTGTGTGTGTGTGCGTGCTCTCACTACCTAGACGCCCGCGCGCTCGTTCGCTCTCTCTCTCTCTCGAGCGCGCCTCGAATCGGAAATAGCCCACGTCCCGTTTGAGCCGGCCTTGTCCAGATTCAATGAGTGTGGGGATTATTTCTGACGCGGCCGGCGGATGTTCATCCCCGTGGCTCGCGGCCAGCACACTGATTCTGAGAGTGGTTCTCGTCGATCTGCCTCTCTCGCACCAGTGAGGCATCCCCGACAGGTGCGAGAGAGACGGAGCGACGACAGCGACTCTCGGAATCAGCCTGTAGCGGCAGCTGGGCGTGGCCGTGCAGTGCATGGCCGCGGACCTGGTGGTGGCGGACCACCGCGACGACGTCGAGGACCGCGTCGACGCGCGCCGAGGAGGGCAACAGGTTGAGGTGTGCGCCAGCCATCTCGTGTCGCGGACCTGGACGTGCAGCACGATATTGGCGGGGCGGGGGTGGTTGCAGGGCGCGGGGGTGGGCGTCGGCGTGGCCCTCCGTGACGGTGTAGCCTCCCCGTTGATTGATTGGCCGCTTGATTGACGGGTGGATTGGGCGGTGGCGCGGCGCCGCGGAGCCCCGGGGCGTCTCGGATGGTGCGCCGCGACGCCGTTACCTCGTCCTGGAGTGCCTCAAGTTGCCACACGGCACTAGTGTCGGCCCGCCACTACCTCAGGCCGGCCGTCTATCCTTCTCGCACTCGCGGGGCGTGCCGTCGCGGCGCGGGAGAGCGAGAGAGAGGGAGAATGCGCGTCGCTTTGTCGATACGGCCGAGTGCAGTTGATCCGCCCTCTGCCTGCAGGGCCCGGCCCTTAGCCCTTCCATTAGACAGAAGCTGCCGGTCCTCGGCCGCACCAGCTGGGGCACAGCCCGGCGCCAGAACCCTCGCGGCTACTTTCTTTCTTCTTCTTCGTCGTCGTCTTCGTCTTCTCTCCCACGCTCGTCCTTGGCGAATGCGCAGTGAGAGAGATTTGGCCGCCGCAGGTCCGGCAGGGTATTGGGAGGCGACGGCGATGTTTGACGGGCTGCTCTCTCTGCGCGCTGCCGCCACCGCCGCCGCAGGGGCTTACTTCAGCTCGAGTGGTTTCGCTCCAGACTGTACTGGGGCTTCTGTCCCTCGCGCCGCATTGGACTTAATCCCCTCCGCTTCCTGGTCGTG